GTGGCCCCACAGCAAAACCAGGAGAGAGCAGGCATTTCTGATCTTTCTGAAGGTAAAGTAAATCAAGAGGGATAAAATTAACAACAGAAAAGCCCCAGAGAGGAGGTGGTGTTATCTTCTTCTATCATAAAGAAAACAAACAAAAAAGTGGTGCACTACCCCAGTGTTAGGGTAAAAAAACTTGGATCAGCTGTAATTCAACCACAGTTGCCAACTTTCATGCAGTAAAGAAGCACCCTGACTTTCACAATAAGCCAAAAATCAACCTAATCCCATTTCAAAACAAGGCCAAAACAAGCCAATCCTTAAGAACCCCAACACTCTATGTGATTAGATTCCACCCGGTGTGGTGGGACTGTGATGGGCCTGCTGTGCAGCCCTGACTCTCTCCCCCACCCTTATCCCTGCTTGCCAGGAGCCGATCAAAAAAAAAAAAAAAAAAGGCAACAAGATACAACAAGCAACAAACTAAAAGCCAAAAAGCAACTCACAAGCCAATTAAGCCAAAAACAAGCCCAATTTCTGCATTTTTTTCCACGGGTTTGGCATGGCTGAATTCAGCCCCGAAACTGAAATTGGTGCAGAATGGGGCAGCTCCGTTATTAAACAGAGTTTGCTGCCCCAAACAGATGCCATCAGTGCTCTGTGAACTGCCCTGGCTGTCTACTGATTTTCAGGTAGACTTAAGGTGTTGGTTTTGATTTATCCTGCCTTGTGATTGGCATGTTTGAGAGAGTACCTCCTTCCCTGTGCCACCCTGCTGTGAGGAGTCAGCGGAGGCATCTGAGCTGCAGGCCTGTCAGAGTAAGAGAGCGAGCTGTTTTCAAGTTGCTCTCATTGAGGGGTCCTGAATGCTGGAACCCGCTCCTCTCACCTCTGCTTCAAAATAGCCCAAATTTGTTAATCTTTAGGTCATGCTGCAAGGCTGAACTATTTCCCCAGGTTTTTAGGAAGCATGGAGCATAACAAGGGCTAGCATATATGGGGGATGAAGCGCCGATTGGGCTTGATTTATTGTGGTTGGTTATGTTTTGGAGGCAAGGAGTGGCTGCTGGCTTTATTTTTGATGTAGCTGCACATTCAGCGTTTTAGCAAAGGCAACAAGAGCTCTGCGTGGGCACTGCTTATGTATCTTGAAACATGAATAAATGATACTGAGTCAAAAACATCCTGTCACACTCGCTAAGCTAAACAAAGTTCAGTATCATTTTAAAGTTTACTCCACTCCTTAAAAGCCCCCCCCCCTTATTTATTTCAAGTGCCCTACTGCTTTTTAAACCCTAAAGGTTGTATTATACTTTCCCTCCCCTGTCTGGGAAAGGGGCCCTACCCCACGTCTTCCAAAGCTGAGTCTGAAGAGTTTAAGCACGGTGGAACTCCAGCTTCCACCTTTTGGGAAGTCAGACGCATAGTTTGTCAAATTAAGATTTTTCCAGAGTCTGCCTACTGGCCAGTAACATTGCTAACAACACCATTTTAGCTAAATGTCAACTCTCATTGCCACCTGGACATGGCAGTTTTCTTTCCCAGTCCTAAACTGGTTGTCTAGTGGTATTGTGCATTACTAATATAGTACGTATTTTTCAGAAAGGGAAATAAAGTGATCCGGGAAACTACAGGTTCATTTGACCTCAAGTGTGTGCAGGGTCTTGGAACACATTTTGAAAGAGAAAGTAGTTACGGACATAGAGGTAAATGGTATTTGGGATAAAATACAACATGGTTTTACAAAAAGTAGATGGTGGCAGACCAATCTGTTCTCCTTTGAGAAGATAATTGGTTTTCTAGACAAAGGAAAGTCAATAGATCTAATCTATCTGGATTTCAGTAAGGCATTTGATACAGTTGGGAGATATTGCCAATATAGGAGGAGGACTGGAACTGGGTTAGCGTGCAGCACAAGCCCACACACACACACACACCCCCAATTCTCTGGGATGATCGCTTCACCCCTCCCCCCAGCGCGTGGCTAACAGCGGGGAACATTTCTGTTCAGCCACCGGCAAACAGCCCAGCAGGAACGGGCACCTCTGAATGTCCTCTTAATAAAATCACCCTATTTCAACCAGTGACCATGAATGATATCACTCTCCTGAGGATGACACAGAGAGATAAGGAACGGATGTTGTTTGAATGCCAGCAAACACCAGGACCATACGCTGTGTTATGCAATGATTCCAGACTACGTGCTACTGGCTTAGCGTGGTAAAGTGTCCTAGCATGGAGGATGGAATAAGGCTGCCCTCCCCAGAAACCTTTTGCAAAGGCTTTGGGAGTACATCCAGGAGAGCTTTATGGAGATGTCCCTGGAGGATTTCCGCTCCATCCCCAGACATGTTAACAGACTTTTCCAGTAGCTGTACTGGCCGCGAATGCCAGGGCAAATTAATCATTAAACACGCTTGCTTTTAAACCATGTCTAATATTTACAAAGGTACACTCACCAGAGGTCCCCTTCTCCGCCTTCAGGGTCCAGGAGCCCACCTTGGGTGGGTTCAGGGGTTACTGGCTCCAGGTCCAGGGTGAGAAACAGATCCTAGCTGTTGGGGAAACCGGTTTCTCCACTTCCTTGCTGTGAGCTATCTTCCTTGTCCCCAAAACCCGCTTCCGTGTTGAGTCCGACTCCATTAACGGAGTCAAAGCACGGGGTTGGGGTACTGGTGACTGCACCCCCTAGAATGGCATGCTGCTCATCATAGAAGCGGCATGTTTGGGGCTGTGACCCGGAGCGGCCATTTGCCTCTCTGTTTTTTTGATAGGCTTGCCTGAGCTCCTTAATTTTCACGCGGCACTGCCGCGAGTCCCTGTTATAGCCTCTGTCCTTCATGCCCTTGGAGATTTTTTCAAATGTTTTGGCATTTCGTTTACTGGAACGGAGTTCAGCTAGCACGGATTCGTCTCCCCGTACAGTGATCAGATCCCGTACCTCCTGTTCGGTCCATGCTGGAGCTCTTTTGCGATTCTGGGACTCCATGGTCACCTCTACTGATGAGCTCTGCACGGTCACCTGTGCTGATCAGATCACAATGCTGGCCAAACAGGAAATGAAATTCAAAAGTTCGCGGGCCTTTTCCTGTCTACCTGGCCAGTGCATCTGAGTTGAGAGCGCTGTCCAGAGCGGTCACAATGGAGCACTCTGGAATAGCTCCCGGAGGCCAATACTGTCCAATTGCGTCCACACTACCCCAAATTCAACCTGGCAAGGCCGATTTCAGCGCTAATCCCCTCGTAGGAGGTGGAGTAAAGAAATCGATTTTAAGAGCCCTTTAAGTAAAAAAAAAAAGGGCTTAGTCATGTGGATGGGTCCAGGGTTAAATCGAGGTAATGCTGCTAAATTCGACCTAAAATCGTAGTGTAGAGCAGGCCTTAGGCTCTGATCCAAGAAACTCCCGGTGATTTCAAGGGGATTTGGATCAGGCCCTTAAGCAACGGCATTCCTTGTCTGAAGTGTTTGTGCTGAAAGTCAACTGGAGTTAGGCACATAATTGCCTTTAAAAAAATCTCCTCCTTCTTAGACAATGTGAGTCAAGTGCTTTGATGTCTCAGATGAAAGGCACTATAGACAAGCAACATGTTGTTATAGCAGGACTCTCTCTGAAAATTGGAAATTCCACTCCCCTCCTATTTTTCTTTCTATGCTATACAGATCAGACCAAAAGGACTTGAAACAATGTTTGGTACACCTGGCTCTAGCCTTCCATTTTGCAAAATGGAACCTATACACATTACACTGATTTCAGCACAGGCAGAACATGGCAGGTGCTACTAATTATCCATTGTACCAAAAAGCAAAGCCCTGGCCTGCTTATTGCTTTCTCTGTCAGGCATCCTGTATGCCATTTACTGTAAAATACTGAACAGCTACAGGATACAAAATGACAGGGCAGAATAAAATCTGTCAAAAAGTGTGTGAGAGGCTGCTGATGTTGTATATACACAGAAGAGCAGCGTCACGGTCGTGAGGTTGGCCAGATAAACTAATCTGGACAAGACCCTCTTGTTTTGTAAACTCTTCAGAATACACAATCTGTCATAATGTCGACAATCAAAACACTGCACACGACCTCCTAACTGAATAAATCTGTCTTTCTCACTATTGTTAACTGATACATTACTTGTGGGGTCATGATTAAATTAGATTATAAACATTTCTGGGCAAGGACATTGTCAGCTTATGTTTCTGGAAAGTGCCACGTCATCTCAGATCCTGTAGAAATAATTAAATAATAATAATGCTCCAGCCTCATTCAGGGCCTCATCCATTGCCCATCAGGGCCTGAGAATTCTTCCTTTGGGCATTAGATCTGATCCTCAATCCTGGCAGATAACATATCACTGGCTTTTCCACTACAGTGGAGTCACATCATAGGCGCATTTAACTTGCGCGATTTTAACTATTCGCGATCGGCAAAACAAAAAAGAGAAAAATAACAATTTAAACACTGTACCTGTAGTGCGGACAATTCCGCCCACCATTCCACTCAATGAGCGTTTGACTATACGCGATTTTCACCTTACGCGCTGACTTCAGAACCTAACCCCCGCGTAAGATGCGACTCCCCTGTATTTGCATACCAGCCTTCTGGCTTTATTAGATCTTGCACATGGCCAAACTGAAAGAACCAATAAAGCATCCCCTACTATCCCTTAATAAATTGTAGAAGTGGGGACCCACTGGAAACATTCACCTTTGTATGTCAAATATTGTAGACAGCCGAAAAAGGTGCAGCACCACCACTGTTAACCTCCCCAAAAGGTTCCCCCTGTTACGAACCTGTTTTTATTTCTTTCATATTTTAAGAGGTGAGTTGTTAAGTTTGTTTTTAATTTTGTACGCAATGCATCACAGAGGGGATGCTTCAAAAATAAAATTGCTATTCTAGTGTATTGTAGTAAAGATTCAAATGTTTACCTATCCCTTTTAGATAATCATACCTAAACAAGTTGAATGCTACTAGCTGATTTTCCAGTGAACTCTGCTGTTCTGGTTTAAACACGCACATAAGTAGCAAACCTGTGACTCAAGCGCACAAGTGATAACTGACTTCCAGGAAAGCAGGATTTTTACAGGAAAATTAAAATGAAAGTACAGTTGGGTTCACTTTAAGGGCGTGGTGCAGGAAAGAGGACGAAGATTAGGGTGAGTCACACAAGAACTGAACATTCCACTGTGGAAGTTCCAAACATCAGCTTCTGCTACCAGACTGCTGACAAAAAAACAGGTCAGTTCTCTCTTTTTAAAATTTTATTATGTACTTAGCTGTACACTAAGTGTAATACCGAGCCTCTTTGTAGCTAGAAGGACTGGAGATTTTGCTCTTTGTGAATGTTATTGAAGTTTGTTTTACAGAGTTAAGGATTTCATTGAACCGAGTAATCACTTCCAATTCTGAAAGTCACGTTAATTAATTAATTAGTGACAGATTTGTGCTCATGTGGTACAGTAAAGTCAAATCCGGGGGGAGAAGGGGAAGGAAAAAATCTGTACATTTCTCACTATGCATATTTAATCGTAGTGGTGTTCACATATGCTGCCTACCCACACACGCAGAGTAATATTGAATTCATACCAAAATTCTGTAATCATTTTTATAAGATGTGCAAATATGTATATTAATATTCAGACTAGATACAATGCATGTCTATGAATAGAAATGTTGCTCAAGAATAAGAAATATTAGTTTTAGGGACAAATAGCCACTGTGCAGCATCAGGCAATTATTTAATACAGAATTCAGCTCAGCCGAAACTATATCAGCTATCTGAACATGCCTCACCCTACAAGCTTCCCTGCTTTATGATGCATTAACAGAAATGTCAGAGTTAGTTTTCCTGGAACTGTTTAAATTCCCTTTTTATTAGCCCTTAAGAAAATCTGCTAATAATCCTCTTAGATTAATCATTTCCAGATGAGCTCTAATGTTTAGAGCACTTAGTCAGGAGACCTAGATTATATTTCTAATTTGCTGTCTAATCTTAGGCAAGTGCCTTAATCTCCTGGACCCCCATTTCCTTTTTGGTAAAATGGGAATACTAATTCCTACCTTTGAATTCTTCCAATGAACGCGCTATGTAACTGCAAAAATATTATTGTTGTTGAAACATCTGATTGATAGAAACTACCAGTGGTAGAATGTATATAGTAGTATCCCAAAGTATCCCTTGCCAAACAAAATAAAAATGAATAGAATCCCTTTATCTTCTATACTGTATACTTCACTATGCAGTAATACCAGATGACAGACTTTTATGAAGAAAAACTAATTATCATGTAAAGTCCAGAATAGGAAATCCGTTGAAATGTTGGTTGAAAAATTCCACAGAGGTTAAGGATTAAAAACAAAACCAACTAACCAAAACATCAATATTAAATAACCAGCATTTATTAATTTGAGAGCAGTTTCATGACCAGGCGAGGAAACAATTTTTGGATACAAGTATCAAATGAAAATTTTAACGTTTCTCAATTTTTTTAAAATTCAAGTTTCCAATTTGATTAACCACACACTCATACCTTGCACATGACATTAATAACAATTTAACTTTTATTTGTAGAAAGAAGCAAATTTAAAAAGATTTTCAGATAAATATTCTGAGTAAGGATTTGGCAGATGTTTTCTTTAAAGACAGCCAAAGTTGTATGTGTTTTTTCAAGTTTCAAAAAGCCCACTGGCAGCGCCAGATATCAGTTTAGCATCTGTTTTCAATAACTTTAACACAGTAATATTCTGAAACATTGTAACAGAGAAAATGTGTTTTCTCTATTCAGCAGATTTCTGCTCTTGGCTAGCATTAGTCCAATTTATTTCCAGATAATAGGCCATTACAGGATCTCGCAGTCTCTTTTTACATTAGATGGAATTTCAGCAAATGAGTAATTCTACATAGTTATAGGAACTGGGAATAGGATACAGGGGAAAGTGTACTGTAATAAGTGATTTGTCTACAAGATGCAGACTGGAGATGGGATCTCCTAAACTTCAGGATTAAAGGGCAATAAAAGTCTCATGATGAGACTATTTATAACATGTACTTGTACTTAATCATTAAGAAAATCTGTCAGCATAAACTGAAGTTTTTGGTTTTGAATTATTTCGCTGACCTTTAAAAATTCTCACTAAACACAAAATTGTCTGTGCATAGTATACTGGGAAAACAAATAGGTGGCTTCCTTTCTTCCCTCAGGACTGAGACTGCCTCAGAGGGTATGTCTCCACAGCAAAAGCTGTGCAACGGCTAGCCTACCCAAGCAACCTTGAATACATCAGGCGCAGGTAACGAGAGTAGTAAAGACAGTGCAGCCCTGCATATGTACTCTGTTTGCGAGCCGGTTCTGAAGCCTGCATTGCACTGTCCTCACTGTTATTGTTATGTGCATTAGCTGGATTCAAGCTAGCTTAGGTAGGGTAGCTTTTGCTGTGGAGACATTCCCAGACTATCAATCCTGCAAACAGATCCGTGTAGGTGGACCCTGCACTCATGCAGAGCACCAGTGAACTCAGTATGGCCAGAACTGGGGCCAATTCTGCTCTATTGTTTTTAAGCAGACGCCTCCCATAAGCAGCTGACTTGCATCTGACAAATCTCTCACACACACACACACACACACACCCTGCTGAAATATACAACTGCAGGCACCCCTTAGCAATGTCTGCCTCTCAGTTTCAAACAGTTAGCTCTCCTTCTCAGTGTATGTATTGTGGTAGCACCCTAAATCTCCAGCCAGGATTGTTTTGCTCAGATGTGCTAGGTGCTGTATAAACAGATAGGAAGACACAGTCCCCTCCCCCGAGGAGCTGTAGATGTATTGTTTGTTTGGGGTAGTATCTTACTATTCTCAAATGTATACATAGTATTAATTTTTATTTGTCTTTAGCTTAGATCTTTATACAAACCCTAACGTGTTCTGGGGTCCACTGACAATCTTTAAACATGCAATCAACTTAGATTTGTTTTTTGTCTTGTAGCTTTTGCCATGGGGTGGGGTGAAAATACCTCAATGGACTATTATGAGGACAACGGTGAATCAAACTTCACCTTTGACTACACTCAGTTTGAAATGCTTTGTGAAAAAGAGGAGGTGAGAAATTTCACTAAATTGTTCCTACCTGTGTTTTATTCACTGGCTTTCATTGTGGGAATTGCAGGAAATTCATTAGTGGTGGCAATCTATGCCTACTGCAAGAAACTAAAGACTAAGACAGATGTTTATATCATCAACTTGGCAATTGCTGATCTGTTACTGCTATTCACCCTCCCTTTCTGGGCTGCAAATGCAGTCCATGGATGGGGGCTTGGAAACATCATGTGCAAGGTCACTTCTGCTTTATACACCATGAACTTCAGCTCTAGCATGCAGTTTCTGGCTTGTATCAGTGTGGATAGATATAACGCCATTTCCAAACCCCAAAGTCACCAAAGAGGTGGAAAGCAATGCACCGTAACTTGTATCTGTGTCTGGTTGGCTGCCATTTTGTTGAGCATTCCTGAACTGATTTTTAACACAGTCAAGAAAAACAGTGACCGGTATGGATGCTTTCCTGTATTTCCAATGGACCTGGGAACACTCCTTAAAGCAACCATTCAAATCCTGGAAGTTACGCTAGTGTTTGTGTTACCCTTCCTCGTCATGCTGACCTGCTACTCAGCTATTGCCAGAGCACTCGTTAGGTCTCCAAACGTTCAAAAATCTAGGCCCCTCAAAGTTCTGCTGACAGTAGTGGTTGTTTTCATTATCACGCAGCTGCCCTACAATATTGTCAAGTTCTGGCGAGCCATAGACGTCATCTACTTGCTGATTACAGACTGTGACATGAGTAAAACCATAGATGTTGCCCTCCAAATAACTAAGAGTATAGCCTTGTTTCACAGCTGCCTGAACCCAATCTTGTACGTCTTTATGGGAGACTCTTTTAAAATGCACATTACGAAAATAGCCAAAAATTTTGGATATTGGAGGAGAAGTCGCAATATACCAGCCGAAGAGATTTCTATGAATTGTGACGGCCACACAGAAGAAATAAGTAGCTTTACTATATAGCAGCTGTAGCACCCTCTCTAACCAGTGTAACAGAAGGGAACAATTATAATGCATCTGAGAGCTATTTCCTCTTTGATTAAACTTAAACATCCATGTTACTCTGCAAATCAAATCTGAAGAGATGTTCTGACACATGAACCAGCCAAGATGCTGCAAAGCAGTTCAAAATGGAATAAGACCAAAAAACATATACTAAAGGTAATGGAAACAACAGAAACAGAGTCCAGCTGGAACGCTTGAAAAAAGTGGGATTTAAAGGGTCACAGTGCTACGCCATTAATTAGATGAAGAGTGAATGGACTACATACCGGTATGCTAATCACAACAAATATATACTTAATATGTAAAAAAGAAAAAAAAATATGATGGCACTGAATTTTGTACCCCAGAGTTAATAATCTTCAGTCCTTTAAAATGTAACTCTCCAGAGTTGCTTCTCAAAACTGTTTCAGGTCTTCCTATTGATTTAAAATATTTGTCTGAAATTGCAACTCCGTTTTTCCTCAGCTTTCACTTCACAAATGGCCTGTGAGGCTTGAACTGAGGAAATAGTTCATCTCTGGTATTTCACAGAGGCAGCAGTAAACAGCAAGCTATGGTCCAGTGTTTTATGATTCTAAATATATGTGGCATGTTTAAAAGAGTTCCTTTTCTGTGACAACACAGAATGCCTTTTAATTATATTCTGCTTGCACTAGATTGCAATGAGACCTATTTCCTATTATAGGCACATGCCAAATCTTTGGTTTTAAATCCATATTCATATGAGATTACTCAGAGCCTCATTTTGGTCGTTTCCTGGAAGGCAATTCACATTTCCTGTGACCTCTATAAAATGCTTTGGGAACTGATGTAACAACCAGCAATGAAAATGTCTTACATTTTGCAGATGACACTTATGACCTAATTTTGAACATGTAGCCCTATACTGTGTTATAGAAAATTAGCTTTGATTTGTAAATGTATTGTATGCCTTTATGGATATTTTGCTGGTGCCTGAAGTGCACCTATCTCTGTAGCTTTAGCACACAGAATATAAATAACTGGCTGAAGCAAGAGAGCATATTTATACTCAATAGTTCATGAGTGGATACAGTCATGGTCCTTAAGGAAGGAATTAGTGAGATTAAAAGTACTGGCCTGTGATAGCTAGAAGGTAGACAGTTTTTTTAATTGTCCATATAATTGTTACATTTAAGTGTTTAAAGAATACTCAGTTTCCTTCTACTCTCTGCAATCTGTTTACATGAGTTTCACTGCGAGGATGATTTTGGTAACAAAGGTGGATCTAATTGGCTACACACCCCACATTACAACAGTCTCAAGACATTCATAAGTATTTGATGCAGAAAATAAGGTAATGAATGCAGGCCCACTGAATTAAGGAAGGTGGCTAATCAGTCAGCAAATCCTGTGACTTCATCCCTGTGAGCACAGGGCAAGGTAGGTGGTCATTTGGTTACAACATAAGCTCCCTGTCCTAGGAAGAAGGGAAAACACAAAAAATGAGGAGGCTAGAGCAGGAAACAGATTGGGCTCACGAGAGGAGGAAGATAGATATGTACATAGGCGAAAGATGAAAGGCCGGCTCCAATATAGGGCCTCATTTAAAGCCCACTGAAGTTAATGGGAGTCTTTCCATTGATTACAATGGGCTTTGGATAGGCCCCAAATGCACTCTATTTTGACCCGAAGAAGAGCTCTGTGAAAGCTTGTCTGTCTCTCTCACCAAGAGAAGTTGGTCCAGTTAAAGATATTACCTCCCCCACCCGGTCTCTCTATTTTGAGAAGTGCGAGTTACATGTTCAGACTAACAATAGGTATACAAGAAATCATCAGGCATGCTTTGTAGGTTTAAGCTTATGGACTGTAAGAAACCTGTGTAAGATTAAATAGAAGACAAGAGACAAGCTTCTTCTTTATGTTGAGATAACAGCAGCTATCAACCAGCGATACTCCCATTTTGGAAGGTGACAAATATGCCAAGCTTCCTTTCCACTTCAGTCCCTGAAGTATTAGGCCTACACAGAGCCCTCCATCTACTGGTGATTCTAGATATTGCAGGTCATTAGTAAATTATTAGAGCTATTTGCAAACTCTGTGGATGCATCTCACTATGTAGCTCCCCCCCACACACACACGTAGGTAACACTCAAGCTCCATTCCAATTAGTGTTAGTATAGATCTCACTACACTATATTTGTGGCCCTGCCCTGCAAGGTGCTGAGTGCCCTCAGGTCCCATCGACTGATGGTTTTCTGTTTGTAGATTTTCTAGAAATATAGTAACAGTTATTTAAATGCAATTTAGTTGATTTTATTGGGATTTCATTATCAGAATCTCCTGGGATTAGATGCTAACTTTACAAAATACAACAGTGAAGCCTACAATATAAATGATTTATGTAAACTAGAATTGCATTACGCTATATTAGAATATAGTATTTAGCATATGTATTTCTGGAAAGTCTGCAAAAAGAAAATGATCTTTTTTTCCCCATGAGCTTGGAACTGCTACTTTAAATCATAGTAAATCATAGCACTGTCATTGCTTCAGTTACTTTGCAGTAATTTGGGATACATTTTACATTCATGTTTCTTTTTTTTTTTTTTTTTTTTTTGAATGGGTGAGTTAAAATGTTCTTATAGTACATTACATTGTCTATGCTGATTTAAAGCTAGAAAGACTAGTGCAGGGACAGCAGAATTCCTCTATCCCTCCCCAGCTATCAAGGACAGGAATAATTTTTGTCACTGTGTGGTTCACCTTGTGATCCCCCGTACAATATTTTAAAATCACACCAGTTAACTGCTTCCAGACCAGCCTGTGAAGATACAGATGCTCAGAGGGTAGGATCTAGGAAAGCAGTTGTGCCCCATAGCACTGAATAGAGAGACTCAAGATAAGAATATCCATGTTGTAGCTGCAGGGCACAGGGCCTGGAGTACATGGTCCAGGGAGGCAGAACCAGCTTGTTCTACCTCCAGGAAGAGCAAGGGCTCAAAATAAGCCTTGGTTTCGAGACCTTTGCAGTGATGTTGAAAGTGTAGTTGAATTAATGTGTTATATCCTGGTACATTTAACTACCATATCTTGTTTTCTAAGGGAATACATACAGCAACAAATGATGCTCATATATATTGTATACTTGGGGGCAGGAACAAAACTCAAGGCTGGGATTCATAGTCTGTTACTCATTTAAATGCTTTGGTAAAAAGTTTTTGCACTGTAGCTTCAAGGATATTCACCATTTATGCACCAGCTTATAAAACTAGCTAGGAAGTGAGACAGGAAGCGTTCAGACCAGGGCTAATGCATCAGCACCAAAGCCTAGTCTAAAGAAACAGCCAGGGAAGCATGACTTAAAATAAGAACCCATATAGCTCTCCATAGTACCCCCATTCCACGCACGAGCTGCCAAATATGAAGAAAGCCTCAGGACAAAGCTTAAAATACATGGGTCATCTGATGGAAAGATACATTAGAGGAGTACAGTGCAGCTCAATGTGTCAGCTAAGTAGCTTCTGGAAGGGTTTAAAAGGGTCAAAAAAGAGTAAAAGGGTACAAACAACAGCACACATCCTTAACAGAATTAAAGTTTGGGCTTCATGTATTAAAACCAAGCCTGAATATCACTTTCCCCACTACACCTCTACCTCGATATAACGCTGTCCTCGGGAGCCAAAAAATCTTACCGCGTTATTGGTGAAACCGCGTTATATCGAACTTGCTTTGATCCGCCGGAGTGCGCAGCCCTGCCCCCCCGGAGCACTTCTTTACCGCGTTATATCAAAATTCATGTTATATCGGGTCGCATTATATCGGGGTAGAGGTGTATTTTACAATCCAGCACCCTGGTCACTGAAGAGACACTTGAACTTCTCAGAACTGGAATGCAAATTATTTTTGTTTCACCATGTTCAGAAGGAATTCAAGCATAAATTCATTGTTCTGTACTTACCACTGCTCCACCATTTCTTGCCATTGATTACATAGCTATCTCCATCTCGCTGAATGCTGCATTCCATGTTGGTGGCATCACTCGAAGCAACATCAGGCTCTGTACAACACACATTTATGAGCATGTATAATGGAGCTAACTGCAAAACCATTGTTCATATATTATGGGAGGGGATTACAATTACTTTTGGTTTTGCTTATACAAACGTCATACAATAAAAAACTGGAGCGAAGGTAAAAGAGGTGGGGATAAAAAGTGTAATTCAAGGCTAAAGCAGAAAACACGGACACTATGCTCTCTAATAACCTCTCAACACTTTTGGACCAAGCATTTCAAAATGCAGTCGTAATTAGGGCCATGTGGAAACTTTTGTGTCGTCATTGGAAAGCTAGTGTTTGCTTTGAAAACAACACAATTGTAATGTTCACTATGAAAATATGGGTTAAAAAGTTATTAGAGCTTTAATTATAACATTTGTCTATTTAATTGTAAGACTGGATAAATTGTAAGGGCCCTGGATAAATAATTATTAATTTCAAGAGCCAGTCAAATTTGTTGTTTTTAAAACCCTGCGTGGACTTGTTCTGGTTTATCTCACAGACCTTGGCTCAGGTTTTCTGCTCATCCCAGTCATTGCTGGAGGCAGGGTACAGTCAGGGAGCCAGTTAAGGTGTGTTAATTCTCAAGCTGGTCCCAGGATTAATTGGTAAGTGCCAGATGCAGGCAAACCCTATTTTAGGACAGGGCGGGATTGTATAAACTCTATGCCACCTGAGAACACCCTCATGACAAAGGAATTCTCACCTGGTGAGACAGATTCTTTCTGTACCCTTTGCACTACAAGAGAGCAGAGCAGGGGAGAAAATCTGGGTCCTTCTCTTTCTCTACATCCTCCTAAAGCTAGTGACCTTGGAGATCTTCACAGAATGTTATCACTGATAGAGTGACAGCCTTTCCTTTGCAGCTCCTGCTGTTTGGAACAACCTCCCTTCAGTCTGCTTCATCAATATTCTATTTCCTTCCAAATCTTAGGTGAAAACACCTCTTCTCCTTTGGGAACACAGCAATAAGAGGCATTATATCCTATCCTGTTATCTAAACTCCTGCTGACTTGCAGGAGGCACTTAACACTTTTCAGGATTTGGCCCTAAACCTGTGGACCAAAATTTTCAAACTTGGGTGCCTAAAGATACTCTCCTATATCAAAAGTGCCAGTTTTTCCAGAGGTGTGCTGACCACCAGCAATTTTCACTGAGAGGATAATTTCAGGCACCCGGGTTTGAAAATTTTGGCCATAATGGACAATGTAAACCCAAAAGGAATGATAAGCAATTGCTATACAGGAAGTGCATCACGTTATGGTAGTGATTTTCTACATTACACTTCACAAACATATGAAAGATTTGCAGATGGACTGTCATTGATATTTGAAATATTACATAAGCATTATTAGCTGCTAAAGTGGTATCATATTTAGCATATTTACAGTGTGTTTCATCAGTGATCTCAACGCACTTTACAAAGGAGGGTAAGTTTACTGTATGTCCTGTTTGCATAGTAATTTTGTTT